TGCCTGGCATGCAGGATTTCTTGCACTACTTCCAGAGGTAAAAGCTGTCTTTTACTGGGATTTTTCCCTTTAAAATCAAGTTTTTGCTCATCAGGCAAAGCTTTTTCTGGCAGAGAGACAAGGCACTAGGCGGAGAAGAAGACCAGCAGGGCCCATGTGTCCTCCCAGAGCTCAGAGGGTCAGTGCAGCACAGGACACAAGGACCAAGAAACCATTCGGGATCCCAGGAGTTAGAGATACATGGAAGAGACATGAGATGAATTGCGAAGAGAGCTATAATCGGGGGAAATTTGATATAGAGCCACCCCACTGTGTGAGTCCATCAGGGGTGAGTTGGTTGGAGTCAGATACAGCTAATCAGGAAGTTGCTTGGAGGAGTAATTGAGTTTTATGTTTCAGCCGTAGACTCGACGTCGCTTATCCTTTGAATGGATCCTAGTGCTGGCCCCCTTATTCTGCAGATGCGTCTCCCAGAGAGAGTAATTTGCTCGAAGTCCCTTAGCACGTTGTGATAGAATTAGCGATAGAAGCCAAGTCCCCATACTTTGAGCAGGGAACTTTCACATGGAAGAGGAAAGGCTGATGAACAGAGGAAGTACTGGTTCTCTAGCAGAGAGAGAAATGAGGTGGAGGACCAGAGAAGAGGGGTTTTACTGTGGTCTGCATTCATTGGGAAGGAAAGTAAAGACTAGAATCCAGGTTTTCTGACACTCAGTAGGGTGATGCCGTGGTCACAGTGGCCCCCAGAATGTGTAAGTTACTCAGTGGATTGAGTAATTGAAGGTATTGAAGGCAAAGCTGTTTTTTCTCTTGTCACTTTGTTTTTTATCTCTAGACATTCTTTAAAAAAAAAAAGTTAGACACCCACAGTAGAAATATAAAAAATGAGACCTCTAAGATCTCCAAGTAGAAAAGCAGGAGAAATTCTAAGCAGATGCAGGAGGACCTTTACTGCCTGCTTAGAAGAATATTTAGATTTCTCTGTTTTCTGTAGCTGTTCCTCAAATTGAAACCAGAGTGTTATTTTAAGTTGCTGCTGTCAAATTTTGTGTTTTGGTTGCCCCTGTGTCCCAGGGTTGGGCTGACTTTTGCAGAAAGGACCAAAGAAATTATTACATACGTTCTCTGCCCTCCTAAATGATGTGACAGTGGCTGCCGGTGTAAAAAGACTGGGTTTACCGAGGGCTGGAGATGGCAGGAGAGGCACCCTGCCATGGGCAGGCTGGGGCGTAATGGGGGAGAAGATGGCTTGGCTCCTGGCGTTATGGGAAGGCTTTCTTTTCTCCTCACCTGTCCTCATTCGCTTCCCCAGGAACAAAGTGTCAGGGGCCAGTGCCACACAGAACATCTGCTTAGAACAGCCTCAGAAATGTGGCGGCAATAGCCATTTCCGTAAAGTCAG